ACAGGCAGGTGAGCTCTCAGAAACCCTGAGCTTGTAGAACCGGAGGGCATTCTGATGGTCAAGAGCAAGGCACACAGCGCAGCCAGGACAGAGCTCTGTGTTTAAGCCCTGTCTGCATCTGCATCAAGATAGGCGTGGGTGGGAACTGCAGCTTGAGATTTCAGATCCTTCTCTGGGAAGGACGCCTCTGGGGGCGGGAAGCAAGGAGGTGTTGAGTGATCATCATAATTTCACAAGCTCGTAGACTGGCTACTGAGAGGAGTTGGGGAACTAGTCAACACATCATCTCCATCTCCCAAAGAGGAGCCTGGCCCAGAGAGGTGATGGACATAGTGTCCCACAGAGCCACTGGGGCGAGGGCTGGGAATTCATACTCCTCAGACCTGCACCTTTTTACTTTTTGCTTTATCTATCAAGTCCCAGTGCCATCCTTAGCCTATTTCCTCCTCATAGCAACCCAGTGTTTTCTGTGAGATAGGCATGGTATCCCTGAATGCTGATGAAAGGCACGGCGAAGCTCAGAGAAGCTGTATAACTTAAGGTCACATAGTGGCAAAGCCAAGTCCCACTGACCATGGTTTGCCAGATGATTTCCTTGGCCTGTGTCCCTGTTACACACAGCTGCTCCCACTCCTGTATTTCCCACTGTCCCCTGTTCTACCTCATAGTCAGCCCCTCCTCACTCCCCTCTGGAATCTCAAATCCTTTGTGGCAGTCCATCTGTTGCCATGGCACTAGATTATGATGTCTCAGAGCCTGGATGACTATGTATCATTCCTGGGCTGTGGAGAGCAGGGCTCACAGAGGTGGGCATTGTCCAGTGGGCAGACTGGCATGGAGGAACATAAATCCCTGGAAACAAGGAGTCATGGCCTTGAGCCCAGCTGGGAAATCACCCTGGGAACCGGGGCCAAGGCCAGGAGGGTAGGGTCTGGCATGGCCTGCCCTGACAGCCTCAGGGTGATGGCTCAGCCTCTTGTGGTAGGGACCATGGGCTCCTCGCTTTGAATGATCTAACACTAAGACATTCACTGAGATTCCCCCAGCAGGGCTGCTTTGCCTTCCATACTTGTGGGTGGTAAAGCCACATTGCCACATCCCTACTCCCTACACCCGCTCAATGAGGAGGAGGCTGTGCCAGGATTCGATTTTAGTTCATACCAAATCTTTCCATATGGTAACATATATTTCAATGGGGCCTGCCCAGGTGGTTCAGTCTAGCTGCAAACCTGAAAGTTTGCCTCAGTTTCCCTAGGGCAGTGCAGTAACAAAACACAAGTTGCTTCAAGCCAAGTTTGCTGCCTGCTTCTTCTCAGGCCAAGTTTGCTGCTTGCTTCTGGCACATTGCTGGAGTCTACCACATGCAGGCAGCTATATGCTCTTTATGGTTTCTCTGTCCTGCCTCCTTATCCTGTGGTTCCTGGGACCTGAGAAACATGTTACATTATTTGCCTTTCTAGGGATTCTCCTTCTTAGCCTGCTGATGCTAGGTGGCTAAGGCCTCTGTGGAAAGAAGAGCTCAAGATAAGATCTCACTTCTGCCACCTACCCTCACTTCTGGGAGCCTTGGTTTCCTCTTCTATAAAATGGATCTATGACAGCTACTAGGATACCTGTGAGAAGTCTCTGGGATTTGAGGTGAAAGGTTCTAGGCCAGAGCCAGAGTAGAAACATCCAAACTGGCTCAGATGCTGATCAGATCTATAGTACAAACCACACCATTGGACAGCCACTCCTGCAGCTGCCGTTTCCTGGGCCTGGTAGCCTCAAAACTACCCTTCAGGACTACAATGGCACTCTTGGCTGCTCTGGCCTTGCCTAGTATCTGCAGGGGTTTGGCACACAGAGTGAGGCCAAGCTCATCTGAGCTTCCAGAATGCCAAGAGGAAATGATCCTGGGAGATAACCCACCATCCTGTACATGGTGACAGAGCCCCTTCATCACTTTCTACAAGCCTGCCATGTTCTCCTGGACCCTGCCCAGGCATCCTTACCCTACTTGACTCTTGCTCTCAGCTCACCGGGACAGGGGATGGTTCAGCCTTCTGTGTTTCCAAGATAGAGGCCCAGCCACATGTATCTCTGAGGTATTCCTTTGGTGAGCCATGGTGGGGAAGAGCAGACACTGAGTTTCAAGTTCTACTTATGTCCCTGTGTCCACCCAGATGGGCCTGTGGGGAGGTAACCTAACATCTGGAGGCCTGAGTTTCCACATTAGTGGAGTGAGGACAGTACAGGCCTCTTGTAATGAGGCACAGAGACTGGCACTCAGGAAGCATAGAAGTGTGAGCCCAGGAAACAGAGCTGGGATATTAGGATATGTGAATTTATTTATTTGGCTGCTGAGCTTCTTGTGGGATTCCCCAGGTGCTTATAGGTACTTTAGGAAGATTTTGGACTCTGATTTCTAGTAAAAGATGTCACTGGCATCAGTTCATGACCCCTTGGCCCAGGGCTCAGGGATGACTGCTTTAGAGCTGGGAGGGACCAGAGTGTGTATTTATCTCTGCCTTGCTGTGTTTCTCCAGACCAACTCCTTTCCTTCCCTGAGCCTCAGGCTCCCCATTTCTAGGTGGACTCTAATTTCTTGGGTTTATTCTAGCCCTGCACATGCAGAGGCATCTGTGTCAGAACCATGAGAAAGAGCAGCAGAGACAGCTGTGGGGAGTTTCTCTTCTCCCCAGCCTGCCAGGCAGCTAGAGGATGTGGGAGAGATTGCTTGGAGTCAGGTGAGACTCTGGGAGCTGAGGTTGGGCATTTGGCTCAAGGACTCCTGAGAGCTACCTTATTCCTTATTACTAAGTCTGACATCACCCCTGTGCCACAGGGTCTGGGGCAAAGCAAACCATGCTAGGCTTCGCGGGGGGGGGTGCAATCAGTGATGATCGAGAGCTGAGGTCATCAGGTGACAGGTCATCAGATGATGAGGCCATCAGGTGACAGGCCAAACCCAACCTGTTGCCCATCTTTGTAAATAAACTATTGGAACACAGTCCTGCTCTTACCTATTACCTGGCCATGTCAGCCTTGCAATGGCAGTGCTGAGAAGTAACAGACTCTGTGGTCTCAAAGCCCCTACTCTGTACCCCTTTTTGGAGAAAATTTGCCAGCTTCTACCCTAGAGGGAGATTTAGGGAAATGTGGGAGCTAGGAGGAAGCCCCGACAAGGTCTAGAGATTAGGGAAGGCTTTCCTGGAGGAGGTGATTTCTGAGTGTGTAATGGAGACAAGGCAGTTTGGAAAAAGGCCTTTTGGACAAAGGGCCATGTGAACAAGTTGTGATGATGTAAGCAGTGGAGTGTGCTGGGACCACCAGCAGTCAAGGTGGAGACGAATTAGGAAATGTAGGGAGGGAAGAAAAGAGGGGGAACCAGCTGGGATGAAAAACCTCTCAGCATCTGGGAAGAGGCAGAATCCAGGTAGCCCCTGACTTCACATCTAGCCCCAAGGTCATTTAAGGGAGTGACTTGGACACACGGCAAATCACAGTACAGCCACGACTCAAATGCAGCACGCTGGCTCCCTGCCCAGAGCACTTTTCCTTTTCTACCTCGCACTTCAGAGCAACATTTAGACCCATAGCCCCAGCCTGCACAGGGAGTAGACCCTGCAAGCAGATTCCATACAGAGAAGTCCCAGCACCACACGCCTGGTACCATTATATAGGAAGTCACAACTGCAGAGCCAGAGCAGTCAGACAGGACAACTGCTCTCACCTCTGTCCTGACCAAATGTAGAAGGCACCAGATACCAGCATGGCACAGAGCAGGAATGATAGGGGCACCGTAGTACACAGCCCTCTGTGTCTCCTGCCTGACCTCAAAACTAGTTCCTCTGAGACTGCAGTACATAGAGTAGCATGCCCCCATCTCATTTGCTTCAGTTATTTTTCAGGTAGGGCTTGGAGGTTTTTTGCCTGGGTCAACCTGGATCTTGATCCTTCCTCACATGCCACTCACGTAGGTGGGATGACGGGCATGCATCACCAGACCTGGCTTGTTGAGCTGAGGGTCTTGTGATATTTTTGATCTATTAGATCTCCACATTCTTAGTATATAGGATTGTAAGAGTGAGCCAACCTTCCATGCTCTGCTTCTCTCATTTTATCGTTAATAAAAGGGAGGCTCAGAGTTTAGGGACTGTCTCCAAGATTGTGTAGATGGAGGAAGGCCAGCAAGGACATAGATCTCCCCAGAATGGCCTCTGGAATTGCCTCATGGTAGGGACCATTGATACTGGTGTCTTCCTAGGAGATGTTCATGTCCATCACTGCCCTGAGTACAGAATACTTCATTAATCTTGCCACAAAGTGAGCATCTACTTTTAAGATTCAAGATATGAGCTCCCTGGTGCATTCAGGAGAGATTTGACTTTAGGTCTGCTTAGCGGGGGAGCCAGGAAGGGGGGTGGGGAGACAGACAGGTAAAGGGACTGAGAACTAGGGTTAAAGCAACTACTATAGGGGATCAGGGAGGACTTCTTGGAGGTGGCAGTGGAACCATACTTTTAGGGAAGGGATGTGGTGTTGGATGTTAGTGGATCCTGTTTCCCTTATTGGATTTGAGCTCTTCACTCAGAGGGCAAGGCCAGGGTGTCACCTGTGGCACTATGAGAGGTCATAAACTAGCTCTCTGTGTGTGTGTGTGTGTGTGTGTGTCTGTGTGTGTGTACGTGCATGCCCGCATGCCTACTTGCATGCCCGCGCGCCTACTTGCACCCGTCCTGGGGCTTAAGGCTGGTGGCCTAACATTTGAGCCACAGCTCCCCTTCCAGCTTTTTGGTAGTTAATTGGAGAGAACAGTCTCATGGACTTTTCTACCCAGGCTGGCTTTGAACTGTGATCCTCAGACCTCAGCCTCCTGAGCAGCTAGGATTCCAGATGTAAGCCTCTGATGTCTGGCTTGTTCCAGCTTTTAGAATGGGCACCTTCCGGTTATTCTTTTGCCACCTGTGTCTTAGAAAAGCCTCCTGTGCTCACCACATCTTCTTCTTGCCCTGTAGCCAAGAAGACCTGTGCAGACAGTGACTTCACCTGTGACAATGGCCACTGCATCCCCGAGCGGTGGAAATGTGATGGCGAGGAGGAATGTCCCGACGGCTCTGATGAGTGGAAGGCCACTTGCAGTAAGTTCTCCTGCTTGGGTTAGTGGAGGGTAGGCCTTGCCTCACTTTCCTATCTGCTCACTTTCCTGAGAAGCTTGTAAGACTCCTGTGAGGAGATCAAGGGACACTTTGTGCCAGGGAGAAAGTGGGAGGCTCCTGGTGAATGTCAAGTATATCTGGTTGCTTGTTGCTGGTTTGGGGACTTCACAATCCTCTTGCAGGTTGACCCTGTTCCGCCAGCATCAAGAGTTAGAAACAGCCCACTGAATCCCTTTGCTCAGATGTGACTACAGTGCATCCTCCAGGTCTCCCCTGCTCTTATGCTCCAGGAACCTAATCGTAATTCCAGTGGCACTAACGCAAATGACTGTGGGTGCTTGTTAAGCATTTACTGAGTGCCACATCATGCTAAGCTCTTTGTGTGCCTTAGTTCCTTTTGTCCTCAGAGCAGCCTAGGAAGACAGGTACTGTCACTTTCTGAATTTTGTAAAGGAGGACACTGAAGCCCAGAGAGCCAGGCCTCTGAGAGCCCAGCTCTTTCCTCTGTCTTGGTTGGACGGAGCCCAGGAGCTCCATCTTTCACGACCACAGAGGTAGCCAGGGGTGAGGTGGAGGGCCCTGGACCTGCCTCGCATACTCTGGTCTTTGTCTCTCCACGCTTTCTTTTCCTAGCTCTAATCCTCAAAGCAAACTTACACCCAGCAGGTCATTCCCTGACATTTGTTAAATTAAAAAGGAGATGAGAAGGGGGCGGGGAAGGACCCAGTGGTCCAGAGGCAGAGCTTTAGCAGTGCAAGCCTGAGACAAAAGGCTGAGGTAGGGGGTGGAACATGTGGAGGCTGGGGGCTGGTAGGGGACCCAGAAGCCTCTCTTTAGGGGTAACAGCTGCCCCAGAGGCAGAGGCAGGGACAATGGAGGCTGGAGTCCCATCTAGGGCTGCAGTTGGTGATAACTGGGTTTCCTTGTCTCCTAGCAACAGAGCTACCAGCCTGTGTGAGAGAAAGAAAGGGAGAGAGAAAGGGAGAACAAGAGCGGACCCCCGCCCCAGACAAAGGGCCCCTCATCGTCTTGCCCAGCTGCCCTGCCCTCTGCAGTCATGCTGAGAGCCCCCATCCTTTCCTCACTCTGCCACATAGCCAGACTCCATGCTATCCCGAGGTGCCTGGCAGGAAGGAAGCCTGCTGCTTTGTCCTGAGCTTCAGAAGGAACAAAGCCTCACCACGCCCACTGGTGACTTCCCTCGTGGCAGCCTTGAGAAGGGAGGTAGACCTCACTCAGAGAAAGAAACTGAGGCTCAAACAGGTTTGCCCACCTGGCCAGGGCTGCCCAGCTAACAAAGGGCAAGTCATATACAACCGGGGAAGGGGTATGTAGTCAGCCAGCTCTACTGATGGTATCCCACTGTCTGGACACTGGGGACAGAAAGCAGAGGGAGAGGGGGTTGTTAGTGGGGGCTGTCTTACTGCCTGAAGGCTGTGCTGCTCCCCCTTCTCCCCACACCTGATGATGTTGCCTTTCTTCCTGCCCCCCCCCGCCAGTCTCCATCCCTGTTTTCCCCTCCTCAGTTTTCCTCTCACCACCCTCCCTTCCCCTCATCCAGTCAGCTCAGTGTTACCTTCCTCCCTCTCACCCATCTCAGCACTTGCTGCCTTCCTACCCTGTGAGCTGTGGGGAGCCATCCTGTTCCACTTCCCCTGCCTCCTTGGTCCCCCCTCAGTTAGCAATTGAACAGCTGGAGGCCTAGAGAAGTTGACAGACTTATTTCAAAGCCTTGTCTATCCCTAGCAGGTCTCTTTCATAACAAACACAGGCCCTTCAACCTCTCAGAAGTTTGACCCATACCAGCAAGCCTGTGAGAATAGCAGCCAAGGAAATACTCTAAGAACAGAGAAGCCCAGCATTTCCTCCAGCTATCCTGGTCATTTCCTATAAGCTTCTGCCTGCTTCTCACCCTTCTCTGAGCTCCTCCCCCACCCCTTTTTAAAATTGTGCCTGTCATGGGGTTGAAACTCAGGATGTGGGCAATGTCCCTGATCTTTTTGTCCAAGGCTAGTTCTCTACCACTTGAGCCACATATTTCATTTTCAGCGTCTTAGTCGCGTTAATTGGAGATGAGAGTCTCAAGGAATTTTCTTCCCTGGTTTGGCTTTGAACTTCAGTTCTCAGATCTCAGCCTCCTGAGTAGATAGGATTGCAGGCATGAGCCACCAGCACCAGCCTAAGCCCTGCTTTTAATGTTCCAGAAATTAAAAGGCTTCACAGTCCCAGGATTGCTGAATTCTTCATATTCTGAGGCCTTCTTTCTCTTTGATTCAGGATCTCACTTCCTGTGCAGTGACTTTGGTCAGAATCAGGCAGAGCCTGTGGCTAGGGTGGGCTGCTTAGGGAGTTGGCCACAAGGGTCAGGCAGAATTTGGGGCAATGGAACCTAGTAGCAGGCTTGCTCACAGCTTCCTACTGAATGTAAACCCCGCAGCCAACCCGCTGTCCATTTAATTGGCATTGCCATAGCAACCCCCCATCGCCTACCAGGTTTCTGGGGCTATGCCAGCTCCCAGGATAGAGCTCCGCTCCTCACCCCTAACAGAGATATTACAGATAGTAAAGCATAGTATTTGCTATCTGATATGGTCGGGTCAGGTCCTTTTGTCTGTGAAACTTCATGCATCTTGTCCAGGCTTCCTGAATCTCTGTTTCTTCTGTAAAGTGGCATCATGGTACCTGCTTTACGGGGATGCAAGGACCCAATGAGAAAATCAAGTGCTGGAGTAAATGAGTGTTCTATTTATTGTCATATTGGACTCTAAGCCCTCTGCCTCCGACATAATAGTTTATTTTAGACTATTAAGACATTGGAATATTATGGTATTCAAAGAGTGTAGGTGAGGGAGAGAGGTGTTGGGAGGGAAAGGCATACCGGGAATGGGTCCCAATTGTTCCATTTCCTCCTGCTATGCTGTCTGCTGTGCCTGGTCAGGATTCCTCCCAGCTCTTTTTCTGTCAGGCTCTGAGTTTTGTTCTCATAAAATATAGCCAGAGTCACAATGGGAAAGCCCAGAACATTTGCCTAATGAAAGTAGCATTTCAGCTCTAATTATAGCTCCCTTGATTGGAGTCAGCTCTGACCCACCTTCAGGCATCTGTTGGGAGGGGTGTAGCGAGCAGAGGAGAGAGTGCTTCAAGGGGAGCAAGTTACATCTCTGGGTGCTACTTACAAATATGGATTTTTTTCCTTTCATCTTAAAACCAGGAAGGGGGCCTTTCTTGATGAGCCAAACTCACCTTCCTATTATAGATTAGGAAATGGCGGTCTGGAGCTTTTCTGCCATCACTCAGCAAGTTAGGGACTACCCTAGCTAGAAGCCTTTTGCCTGATCCCATGTGGCGTAGCTCCCTTCTTCTCTACGGAAGAATGGTCTCTTAGGTGGAGCAGGAGCTAGGCAGAGTGACATTGGTGGTTCCTATAGCCTGCGTCTAAGAGCTGGCAGTCCCCATTTGGAGACTCTTTGGAGTTTGACACTTTAGACTTGCTTGATCAATGAGCAGCCACCAAGTACTTTCATTCTTTTTTTTTTTTCAACAGACATTTCCTTTTTTTGTTCATTTGTGAACTTATGAATTGGAGAAAGACCCATGGGTTTGGATTTCTGGGGCAGGATTCTCAGGAAATTAGTAAATACCTTCAGCCACTCCAAAGTAGTTTCAAGGCCCCTCACCAGCATTTGGAGGTACCTGTCTTTTTGCAGTAGTGTTCTTCCCTCCTGCCTCATAGAACCTGAGGCTAGAGATGCCCCTTGGACACACCTGTCACAGAAGGAGAGGCTATCCGGGGATGAGAGCTGCATAGTGGTGAAATCAGATCTCTCCATCAGATCTCTCGCATTTATTTTAGTTATTTTCTATCAGTTGTGGGGCTTGAACTCAGGGCCTAGGTGCTGTCCTTGACCTCTTTTGCTCAAGGCTAGTTTTCTACCACTTTCAGCGACTGCACCACTTTCGGTTTTCTGGTGGTTAATTGGAGGTAAGAGTCTCACAGACTTTCCTGCCCGGGCTGACTTTGAACTGTGAGCCTCAGATCTCAGCCTTCTGTGTAGCCAGGATTACAGATGTGAGCACCAGCTTATGTTTCCTCATTTAAACTACACATTTCATTACATAGATTATTCAGGCCTTTTTTTTTTTAAGTGGAGCTGGAGTACATAGAGATTGTCTTGCCCAAGAACCTTAGCATTAGTAAATAAAATGGAGACTCAGTTCTCTGTGACTCTAAATCCCATACTGTTTTTCCTCTATCATGTTGCCTGGGGCCTTGGCTGAAAGTAAGCCTCAGAGGGCCACCCTGCACAGCCTGCCAGAGCAAAGATATAGGAGCTGTCTTATAGCTCCAAGGTGTTAGGGACAGACCAATAGGGTTTACTTTTCTCATGAGCAATGGTTAAGTGCAATAAGTTATAAATGTAGATGGGGGATGTCCAGCTGTGTTCCTCACCATAAGACTTCAAGCAGACCTCTTACCTCTCTGGGCTTTGTTCTCTTCATCAGCACTTCCTAGAGCTCTGTAGTACAGAAGCCTAGCCTGGAGCCTGGAAAACCATGTTCACTCTTAGCTACATCCTAAGAGAGGCCAGCACAGGAGTTTCAGGATATTGGAGCACCAATATCCAGTTCCTGTCTGAACCTTTGGCTCCTGCCATTCCAGATGTTCATCAATATTACCTCCAAGGCCCTTTTGGCCTGGCATTCCAAGAGTCTGGGCTGTTTGGGGGTGAGGTGATGGTATGCAGCACTGCTGAGTCCTTGAGAGCCTGTAATTAGAGCTGTCTATTTAGGGACACAGCAAATGTCTTATTAATTATAAAGAAAGGAAGGAGACGATTGTTTAATCATTGTCCTTGCTGAAAGGTTATGCTATTAACTATATAAATATTCATTAAAAGTTCAGCCAGCTGACTGCTACACTGGGGTCTGCAGAACCAGACCTCCGGATGTGGTTCATATGTCCAAGGGCCCTTTTAGTCACTTGACCTTTGGAGAGGAGAATTTGAGGCTAGGTCTTGAGCACACAAAGTTTGATGGAAAGGGCAGGACTGTAGTAGTTAGGGATGCCGGTTTTGAACTTGGGGCCTAGGTGCTGTCTCTGAGCTTTTTTGCTCAAAACTAGTGCTCTATCATTTGAGCCATAGCTCCACTTCTGCCTTTTTGGTGGTTAATTAGAGATAAGAATCTCAGAGACTTTCTTGCCAAGGCTAGTTTTGAACCATGATCCTCAGTTCTCAGCCTCCTGAGTAGTTAGGATTGTAGGCATGAGCCACCAGCACCCAGCTGGGACTCAGATTTTGCCTCTCAGTTGTATGTTTGGGCCAAGTCTTGGTCTTCTTGATGCTCAGTTTCCTCATCTGTACAATGGAGTACTTACCTATAGAAATGCTGCCTTGTTCAGTCCAGGGAACGCTGCTGATATGCTAGTCCATTGTGAAAAGTAGCCCTAAAATTGGTACACACACAGCCTGAAGGTTCTGCTTATTTGTCAGAGTGAGGGTAATGGTGTGTCTTAGTTGACTCTGGCTATTGTAAAAAATATCATAGGTAGTGTCATTTGGACACAGCAGAAATCTATTGCTTATAGTTGCAGAAGCCACAGAGTCAATGTATCATAGATGGTGTCATCTTACCATAGCAGAAGGGACAAGGGAACTCTTTTACAAGGGCATTAACCCATTCAAGAGGGCTCATGACTTAATCACCTCCTAAACATCTCACCTCTTAACACTGCCACATTGGGGATTAAGTTCCAAATTAATTGAGAAGCAGGGCCGGTGGTTGGGAGTAGGGGGGCATAAGCAAATATAAAGTATTTTGTATAGAGCAGCCTGACACACCTTAGGTGCCTAGGACATGAGACTCTTGAGCTTCCTGAAGAGGTTCAGTTTCCTGAGATCTGGTTTAGGGATGAGTGGTAACCTGTTCTTCCATCCTATTGCTCTCTCAGGCACTTGTAAATGTCTACAACACCTGTATCACTTTTATGGTATCATTGTATGTGAAAGAGGTGAAGTATTCTATATGTTTTGGATGTACACATTGATGTACAGAGGTTCTCAAACAGAAGTACCTAGGAATCACCTGGCCTGGGGGTGGACTGTTAACTAAAATACAGATTCTGTACTCTGCCTTCAAATCCTAGAATTGGCTCATAGCTAGGGCCCAGTAACCTGTACCTCTGACAGCTTCCTGGCCTCCTCTTCCTCTGGGAGATGCTGGTTAACTTCAGCTTCTTCATGTCTTGGCGGGACCCAGAAATGCTTTCTTGAGGTTCTGTGGTATGTGGCTGATAGAGGTGACCTGGAGGGACTTGCAATCTTCAAATTCCTAATCCTCTTCACATCACAACTTGACATGATAGCCCAAGGTAGCTTGTTTTTAAAAGGTCACTGAGTGTCAGTACTTCACTGAACTCTGTAAAGGGAAACTTCTGTAAAATGAATCCGGAATTCCCAGTGGACTGCTGTGTACTTCATAAAATTTGCTTCTAAGGATAACCTGGGGCCCGCACTTGGGTGGCCAAGCACAGCATTGTCTGCCATGGCATAGTGTCTGAGGCCCTTAATGTAGACACATACACCCCTACCTCATTTTTCTGTGACTGTTCACCATCCCTTGTAGTCTCATGCCAGCTATAGAAGTAAGAGGAGAAGAAACTAGTCTGAGGTCAGAGTTCAGATTGAGACATGAGTTGTCCCTGCCTCTGGGGAGCAACAGACTATGCTTAGTCTCTGCATCATACACAGCTGCCAGAATCCTCATACCATTCTTTGCCAGCTGTGTGACTGGAACTCAGTGCTTACCCCACCATGTCTGGTCCACAGTAGTGCTGAATAAGTTTATTCACTGAATGAATAAACAAGACGTGTGCAGATAATAATAATAGGGAACATCTAGTGAGCACTGGGACGAGTGTTCTTGGCAATGCTTTATAGACCTTAACCTGGTCATCATAACAATCCTGTGAGACAGGTTGTAATGCTATCCTCATTTTATTGATGCAGAAATAACTATTTCTGGCCAAAGTCACATAACCAGTCAGCCAGGCTCCAGAGCCCATGTCCTCAAGCTCCGTGTTGGAGGATAGGACATAATCCTTACCCTGTGCCTGGCACATCCTAGAGACCACTGAGATTGGTCATTCTGTATGTCCTGGAAGTCGGTATGTGCCAACCATGAAGGTCTGAGGTGCGTCTGCCTCAGCTATTACATGGATCAGGGCAAGGTCAGGATGAGAGTAGCCCCTGGCCCCAGGTAGTGTTCTTGTTTCTTCTTCCAAATCGAGAATCAACCCTGGGGCTTCAGGCCCCTGACGGAGTCAGCCTCTGATTGCAGCTGCAGTAATTATAGCTGTGCAGTCCCGCTGGGCCCTGCCACACAGCGGCTGACCCCAGCACCATCACTCATCTCTGAGAGAGATGCTAAGGGTGAATTGGAGCTGCTAGGGCCTCAGTGAGCCCCTTCAAATCCACTGGTTCTGAGCTGGAGCCTCTGATCTGGAAGGCGAACTGAGGTCCAAAGGCCCACAGCTGGAAAAGGCAGGGAAGATTGCAGAACATGGTGGCCCCACATCACCAGAGCTACAAGGGGAGATCTGGAGGGGTGAGAGGGTGTGGCTAGGTGCAGGAAGAAGTCACTGGACAGAGAAGGGACTTGAATGTCAGAGACCAGGGGCCTGTGAGAGAACATTACACAGGACAATGGTGGAGGAAGTCAGATTTAAGATTTAGGGGCAGACAGAGGCTCTGGCTAAAGAAACTGAGACAGGACAGAAAGCTTTGATGGATTTCCCAGGGCCTTTCGCCAGGTGGCTGGGACCAAGTGGAAGGTCTGGTTGGCACTACGCCCTGTGTTTCCCCTTGGCTAACTTATACACATCTGTCTCCACAGCCCGGCAAGTGTGTCCTGCAGAGAAGCTGAGCTGTGGACCCACCAGCCACAAGTGTGTGCCTGCCTCCTGGCGCTGTGATGGGGAGAAGGACTGTGAGGGTGGAGCAGATGAAGCCGGCTGTGCTACCTGTGAGTCTGGGGTCAGAGCTCCAGGGTCTGCCGGGCCTAGCTGGGCAATCTTGAGGAGTGGGGCCTGGGAGTGAACAGGAAAGCATAACAATCAAGACATAGTAACCGCCAGGCACTTGGGAGACATTTTCTTCTGTCATCCTCACAATCACCTCATGAGTAGCCATTATCATCCTCATTTTAAGGGTGAGGAAACTGAGGCTCAGACAAGGGAGGAAAAGTGCCACTCGAGGCTGAGTGATGGAACTGAGATTCAAATTCAGGTCTGGATAGCAAAGCTCTTTACCATAACTGGCATCTGCTCATCCATTCCACAAGTCTACCAATCTCTGAGCAAGGGCAGGGGACTAGGGAGCATGCTGTATGGACGAATGGTAGTGGTTTGAGCCAGGGCACTGGCATTGCTGGGGAGGAGGGATAGATTCCTGGGGTAGGAAGGCTGACTGTTGCTGAAATCTCGGATGTCACAGGGTGGGGAAGACATTCCCAGCAGCCTCAGCAGGGACAGATGGACGTGGTCATTGGGATAGTTCCACATCACTGAGCTTTAAACACAGGATTATCTGCTCCTCGGGGAGCAGGCCAGCAAGGCCTGGGCCAATGGGGGCTGTGGTCCAGCCTCACTCATTTTAATTCGATTGGTAGCTACTATGAGCCAGGTACTGGGTCACAGAGGAGAGTAGACTGGTTATACTACTGGGGCTGTGAGGCTGGGCTGAGATTATGGGTGGTCACTCAGGAGGGCTTTTGACAGGCACTTTGCTCACTGCTGCCTCTCTGTGAGAATTCTAACTTCCTGCTCCAGACAAGAAGCTGTCTCTTCCCAAGACTTGACTTACTAGCACTAAGTCTGGGGTTTGGATGGATCTAATGCAGGAGAGGGAGCAGATCTTGTCTGGGACCCGCAGTTTTAAAGTGGTGACACTGGCTTGTTTCTTCAGCTGTGATCATTTACTAGGACAGGAACATTACCCATTAACTACTGGAGCCAGGGTATTAGAAGGTCTTCTCAGGCTATTTGGCCACAGCTCCCTGACACCTGGGTACAGGAAGAATTCTGCCATCCCTGAGGCTCTTTCATTTATGAGTGCTGTGAGTGGCTCCCTGGGCCTAGGTGGTATTAACCTTAGAGTTGCTGATAGCTTCAGAACTCAGTATTAATAAGCACTTCCTACCAGGACTCTCACAAAGCAGGAGTCCTCCCATCCTGTACAGGTACAGCTGAGTGTAGACAGGCAGGAGGTGAGCTAATCAGCCTCATCTTGAGAGGGGCTACAGTGTCATGGAGGGTGTTCTTGTCCCACCCATGCCCCAGTATCCCAAAAGCCCAGAAGGAGATAAAATGCAGCTGTCAGAAACTTGGTAGAGCTGTCAAAAATGCATGACATGAACTGCCTGTGTTGTGGAAACTCAAGTCATCACTATATATTACACTCAGGAACAATGAAAATGGACATTTTTTTTTTTCCACCAGAAAATAGAAACACAGACTCAGGGTGCCTCCATGTGGAGAGATCTGGTACTGCTACCACCCTGAGAGCTGTGGTCACAGCCCCTGCTTCTCTGACCCACCTGACACAGGGCCAGTTCTTGGCCAGTGTCTGAAGACACAAAGGAAGGGAGGAGGTTGGGCATTCATTGTCTTGAAAATAGCTCACATGCCAAGACAGGAGAAAAACAAAGGGGGAAAAAATAAATAAAAAGCAGAAAAGCTGAGGAAAGGGATCAAAACAGAAAGGAAATATCCCAAACCTAAGTTCTCTCGTCACCATGGACTGCCTATATGGCCCTGGAAAAGTTTCTCTCCTCTCTGAAACTCAGCTTTCCTACCTAGAAACTAGCAGCTGGACTGGTCTATAAGGTCTTCCTTGCTCTGAGTTCACCCTAACTGAGGGAGGAAGCCCAAGGCACCAGACATTCCCTGTTGGGAATTCCATGCCAGGCCTTCAGGACATGATGGTCCCTGGGCTGTGTGTAGCCAGGGGACAGATGGAGGACATGAAACTTAAACACAGGGGCTGGCTGTCCAAGGAAGACAAAAAGGAACAGAGGCAGACGTAGGTTTCCCAATCAAAGAAGTACACGGTGTGTTACGGAGAGGATGGAATTTGGACCCTTAAAGGATGCGAATTCATGAGTGAAAAAAATTATAGAGGCAGTGGTGAGCAAGAGGTGGGTCCCAGAAGATTGGAGAGACTGGAGCAAAGGCTGGAAGGAAAGACTGTGCACAGGGGTTAATCTGTAGGGTGGCTGGAGCCTGAGGTAGGTTCAGGAGGAAGGTGATGGGCCAGAGCCATGGATGCTTGGCTGGGACTTGGCAGAAATGAGCAGGTTATTCACAGCTAGGCCATCAAGGAACATCCTAGACCCTGTCGCCTGGGCTTAGACATGGGAACAGAGCATTTCCTGGCTTTGGGGACAGCTGTGGAGCTCTTCCTTTGTCCCGCCATGCTGCTGGCGGCCAGGAGGAATTCTTAACTCTCATTGCCTGAGGTCTGGGGAGCGCAGCCAGGGGCAGGTGTGTGTTGCCCCGGTTTGGAAGCTTCCGTGCCCCCAGTGCAGGCCTCTGGCAGGACCCGTTCCGGCCCACAGGCCAGGGTGGGACCCTCCGTAGCAGGACCAGCGGGCCGGGTGGCGGAGCCTGGGGTCGCGGCCGGCCGACCGGCTCTCTGTCCCGCGCAGTGTGCGCCCCGCACGAGTTCCAGTGCAGCAACCGCACCTGCCTGGCCGCCCTGTTCGTGTGCGACGGAGACGACGACTGCGGGGACGGCAGCGACGAGCGCGG